CTTTTTATTCACTCCTCTCCTCTCTCATAAGCCTATCCTAGGCTGTCTTAATTTTGATTAACCCACCGCCAATTTTAGTTTAGGTGGCAGTACAATTCAGGAGGCATCCCTGGCCAAACAACAACAATACACTCATACTATGTTACGAACGTTACAACTAAGCATACATAACAAACTAACCGCTTACAAATCACTCATCAGACCTATTTGGACCTACGGAGTCGAGCTATGGGACTCGGCCAAATCCGTCCAATATCCAACGAATTCAATCTTTCAATGTAAAGTTCTTCGCCGTATCCTCAATGCTCCTTTCTATGTCATGTAATCAAACGATCCATAAAGATCTTAAAATCCCGTTCGTGAAAGATCTTATCCGAATACGCTTCTTCACTTTCCACTCTAAATTATCCCTCCAACCTAACCCACTAGCCTTAACTCTTTCCTCAACGTTTCACCCTTCCATTCCTGAGGGCCAAAACGACGATGGCCTCGTGACCTTCTATCTAACCCACCCAATTATAAAAGAGAGTTCCAGCACTGGTTGGTTTCTCTTCCCACTGTCTCCTGGTCTGACAGGTCTCTCAGATTTGTTTATAACTAAACTATTTGCTCAATGTATATTCTGTATAGATAGCAATAAATAAAATAAAATGCTTTTGAAAAAAAAGTTTTGGCAACAAATATTGATTTTTATAGAAAAAATGCTTTTTAAATGTATTGATACTGTGTTTTGATAGTCTGCCTGAATATTCGATATTCTATGTACATGAAAAACGATCGATTTTTGTTTAAACGATTTGATAATAGTTTCTTTCACATGTAGATTATAAATTGTCAACAAATGTGGTAAAATTATTGATTGTCAAAAATGAAATACAAATTTTTTGACTCCAATGAATCGATAGTTTTTAACATAGAATCGATTTAGATGTATCGGTATATTATTTCGAATATGTGAGGATGTACACTTTTGTATAAAACTTTATCATTGAAACATTGACATATTTCTTTGTGACACATTACATCGATATTTTTTGATATAATAAATCAACACCGAGAAATGTTTACCAGATAAATCAATTCAAATGATCGATAATGCAATTAATAATTTGGATGCCAACAATCAATTCTGTTGCACTTGCCCAACAGTTGGCCAAAGTACTAGTGTTTTTCTTTGGCAATGGTTACAATTAAATTAGAAAATTAATTAACTGTTGGATTAGTTTTTCGCGTTGAAGTAATAATCATACTAAAGATTTTTTTATTAAAAGGAAACACGAAAGTTTTATCCTGATGTAAATTTGACTTGACTTTTATTCAGTTTTTAGTATAAACTGTGAATTTTTATGTTAATATTCAACGAATTTGCAGTCAGGACGTCCACCAGTGGAGAAAGTTGAAGCATGCTGACAACCTCCTATGCTCTAGGAGAATGAAGTAAACCCATTCCAACCGTTAAGTTCTCCGAAGCGATCGGAGAAAAAGCAATTATTTCTTCGTGTAACGAGGGAGTAGGAAAAATTTGTCCAAGGTGGAAGCTTGATTGTCGTCCTTTTCCCTTGGGGAAGGGTTGAAGGAAGAAGACGCAATCAATCCTGGCCGTTTGATGGAACCCGCTCTTGGGACCATCTAGGTTTCAATCAGCCGGCTACATCTGAGACTCCAAGGCATCTGCGACACCCTCCGCGCATGGATCATCAGTCAAGAACGTGGACAACGACAAATTAAACCGCTTCTATCCAATCTCAACTTGGCTTTCCACGGTGAGAGACCTGTTGCCCGGGAAATCAAAACGCCCTTCTTTTCCACTTTGACAAAAAGTTTTGCAGATTGGATTCGGTTTTTATTTATTTTTATTTTTTATTTAATTTGGTTTGTTTTTATTTTAAGCTTTTAATACTGCTATTCTAGGAAGAAAATGTATATTTTGATCATTATTGATCTTCTCCGCCTGTTGGTTGGTCGGAAGCGTTTTGGCATGTCGCCATCTTTAACTTTCCGTCTTTCTGGTAACACACTAAAGTTCAGAGAATAGGTAGACTAAGATTATCACACATTAAATAAAAGTCTTTTTATGTAAGGTTTTGGTTGAAATGAAAAAGTTAGTGCCACGAGTGGGATTCGAACCCACGACCTTCGGCTAAACACTCCGCTGCTCTACCACTTGAGCTATCGTGACTTCGATCCACTCGGACATCCCCCTCCATCTCAACCTCCAACCTTTTCAATTTTCCCTTTTTTTGCCGTTTTTCCATTTTGGTGAACGAGTGGATCGAAGTCACGATAGCTCAAGTGGTAGAGCAGCGGCGTATTTAGCCGATGGTCGTGGGTTCGAATCCCGATCGTGGCATTAACTTTTTCGTTTCAACCAAAACCTTACACAAAGATTAATTAATTGAAAAATTTCGTCAAACGTTCACCGCGCTTGTATTAATCATGTTGATCATATTTCAACTATTCTAATTGCTGGAAATGGCTCATTTGATATTTAATACCGAGCCCTTTAATTAACCTCCATTTAACCTTAACCAGACACTTTGAATGAACTAAGCCAAGTTTGAAATTCATGTTTACTATTTCCTAAGATCCAAGCCTGCTTAGTTATGTTTGTTTATGGCGGCTTATCTCAGAGAGCGTCTGGCAATGGAACAATCTATGGAATCCTTGTGTACGGAGCAATCTTGATGAGGGGGGAGTATGCCAGCACTCGAAAAGTTACGACCGGAAAGAGGTTAGCGAACAAAAGAAAAGATTAATTAATTGAAAGAAGTAATTTGGTCAATAGACCACTAAATATAATGGATTAAATAAAAGGTTCAACACCCCACAAACCAAAGGACGAGTCGGAACAGAATAGGGAAGAAATTATGGCTAAATCATCAGCAAAGGTTGTAAGGACATCGTGGGTATAAACGGAGTAGAGGGAAGGACCAATGATATTTCCTTGTGACACATCGGAAAAATGGAATGGTCTTAGCAAATTTGCATTAGTTGTTGAAATGATACGATTTGATGAAATGAAATACAGTTCTGTCAATACACATTTTATAAAAGGCTTGCTTGATTTCAAGGAATATTCTAGCGTTCTTTAAGGTCAGAAGGTTACCATCCATCGCTAATCATCCTTAATGAAAATCTATCGATTTTTAAATAAAAATAGGAAAAGTGGTTGATTTATTTCTTTTTCTTTTGACAGGTTATAGCTCATAAAGCTATAAAGCAGAATTGGAGCGAGTGAGACGGGAAAAATACTGGAGAAGACGCTTTTAAATCTGAACGGTAATTAGGTGAGCCGGTTGCTAGTTGAATAATGCCCTGGCCGACTGAGAAAACACCGCGGGCACAATCTGTGTTTCCGGCTCATTAACTTTCATTATAGAGAAAGAGGAGAAGCGCCTCTAAGAACACGCTGCTAACTGCTAAAGCAGCCCCCAACTGATAACACTCTCACACACTGTCTAATTAACCGGGGGCTCGTATTTCATTAGTACCGTTCTCTTGTTTCCCGGTCTTATCGGCGGCCAGCTCTGGCATAACCAAGTAAACTTAAATACAATAGCTGATTATTTGGAAATTTATTAAGCATCTCACCCTCCGCCATTTTAAATAGGCGGAGGAGATTATCTAAACTCAACCCTTATGAAATTCTCTTTTTGTTTAATCTCTTTTAAATCTCGATCATTCTTTAGCCTATCCGAATCTACAATTACTTTTTTTTTCAATATAAAATAAGGCACAAGACGTACAGTTAACTTAAAAGCATAGCATCCAAACCTATCAACTCAATAAGCTTTAAAAATATTCAAAAGTTAGAAAACAGACGGTGACGGTAGTGCCGAAAAGTGCCTCAGGGGTGTAATAGTGCCATTTTGTTAACCTAGTAGCTTTGTAACTCTTACAGACTTACGTACCAACCTCTGTTAGTGGCGATTCAAAAATTCAATTATTTACAGCTGCTGTTTGATAGTTCCGAAGTATACCGGAAAAACAACTGCACCAATGATACCAACGTATGTGTGGTGTTTAGTGACCGTTAGTCAATGATTATTCGGAGATCGTGAGATGCGGTCTGGTGTGACATATTGTTGCTGAAAAACATTTTCTTTATCGTGCCAACGTTTCGATCTTTATTGAGATCATCTTCAGAGCTCAAAGTGTTTGTTTTCTGCGTAATTGTGTCATTCTTGTGTGCCATGTTGAGACTGCCAGTGTGTGGGCAAAAGAAACATTTTAAACACAGAAATCAACACGAGCATTAAAAACATTAAGACATTCACACAAAAATTACACTAATTAAAACTCAGTGCCGCCAACATAATGCCTAAAGAAATTTTAAAATTTTTGTTCAGATCATCGTCAGGGCTCAAAGTGTTTGTTTTCCGTGTAGATGTGTCATTCTTGTCTGTTGTGTTGAGAGTGCCAATTAATGACATATGTACACGGAAAACAAATCTTTGAGCCCTGAAGATGATCTCAATAAAGATCGAAACGTTGGCACGATAAAGAAAATGTTTTTCTAAAACCTACTTCACACCAGACCGCATCACACGATCTACAAAAATGATACCAACATTTCGACTCACCAGTCTATACTATCAACAACGTAATTTACGATCAACAAAATAATTAAGACTGAGTACTAAAATACCTTTTGTATCAAAACGGGGATTAAAATAAATTTAGGTCAAATTTTAGACTAGAAAGACTTTTCTTTTATTTGTAAACTTCAATTTTTTAAATCGATAAGCAAACCTCTCTGTCTAGATCTTCAGGGTATCACATTTTTTAGTTACTCCAAAAACCTCAAGTCTTTGTCGTAGAATCACACTTTTTAATGCTGCTTTCTTTTCTCTACTTTCTGTGGTACCTTTTTTCGTTTTGATTGGGGAAGAGTAAGTATTAGTAACGTATAGCTTACGACTTTAAAATGATCCCTTGTCTTCATCCCTACCCATGAGGCCGTAACTGATGGAAATTATTGAAAAATTAACAGCAGTTTGTAAGTTTTATCTTTATAATTAGGCGAAATGTTTTGGACAAGACTGTTGACAGAACATTGGACGCATAGTACAAAATTATTTTAAGGGAAGAAACATGACCAACCGCTCCCTTTGAGCAGAGACTTCGTGCAGAGGCTCTTCTCCTCTCCTTTCAGCCAGGGTATCGTAATGGTGACTATGCTGTCTTTTTCGTCCCAGACTGCAAAAAGCGGCTGTATAGGAAATGGAAACATAATCGATCTTTTAACTTCCTCTTTGCTACACTGTGTCACGTCTTTCTCCCTCATCACCCGGCTCCGGCTCGTGTAAAAGTCTATGTTCTTCGTGCCCAATCGGAGCCAAATCTTGTCTAGATGGTCAGTCGGAATGTTCATGACAATCTTGTTAAAAAAAAAATGAATTAATCAATCGATCCGAGGTTTTAATCTTTCTGCTACTTACTTTAAGAACGTCCTTTTCGTAGATGGCTATAGTGTCTATCTGCCCTCCAAGGATGCTGAAGCCTTGCCATAGTGTTATTTTGTTATTCGCTTGAGGTGTTGAGCGTTGGATGAAGAATTCGTTGAAATGGTCGAAACAGTTCATAGTTTTCCCTTGTGCTGGAAATACAACGTGAAGTTCATATTGAATTATTCAACCGTTTTCGAAGGGCGACCTACCGTGTGTGTCTTGTTCTGGCACCTAGTTTACATCGCGGTAACTTTTTTATCAGCTGATTGATTTCAAACATTTTTTTTAAATCCTCCAATCCTATTAAACTGACCGCTGTTTGAGACTGAGACGCAACAAAGAATTCTCAGATATCTGACTCATCAAGGGAGCATTTTTGATCCCGTACGGTATACCATTTACACTGCTGACTCTACTGTAAATTCCATCATCATCCTTCTCTGTATTCTAACCGGAATGTACAAGCTACCTCCAACATATAAGAACACCTTGACTTTATCAAAGGCTAGAGGAAAAGTAGAGGATCAGACTGTATAAGGAAAAATCTAAACATCTGTATAAGGAAAAATCTAAACATCTGTATAAGGAAAAATCTAAACATTGAAAAAACAGACTTCGCCACCACTGTATATGGAGCTACTTCCACTCAAATCAGCTACTTAAGAATACACCTAGACAGCATAGTGACGTAGAATCCCCACAACAGGCTTTTTTCCCTTCCGGTAACCCTGTAAGAAGGGCGTTTATTGCCATGTATATTCCCGTTTCCTAAGATTCCAGGAGTTTAACATTTGCATTTTATTTTATTTTGTTTTACATTATTCATTTCAGTTTAATTTATTGTAAAGTTTTGTAAAAGGTGACCATTTATCTCCGCTGAAGGGGTAAAACGATCTGCACGGCGGCCTTTTACCATTACGGTAAGGTCGTCCGCATGCCTAGACACTAGAATCCTGCTTGTTCCAGAATTTGTAGTTCTTAGAAAGAACTCCTCCTTGTAGGCATCCTCTGGTAATTTTAGCTCCGTTGGTTCTGTCCCCAAGATGGATATAATTATCGTATTCCTTAGGCCCACTCATTGATTGACCTATTCCGAAAACCCTCTGTTGTTAACTGCTTTAAAAAAAAGGCTATTGTGTTGAATGCTCCCTCTATATCCGTGAAAAGTGTTACTGTTATCTCCTTGATATTTATGGACTTGGTTATGTGTTTAAACCAGTTAAACAGGTTTTCTATGACCATCTCTCGCTAATTGAGGAGTTTGTTCGTCAGTGCTTTATCTCTGATGTGGTAGGGTAAATAGGTCTTACGTTCCCAAATCGGGTCGTCCTTAAAAGAACAATGAGGTTCTTTAGCGTTCGTACCTGGCTCATGGCCTTACCGGACGTTTTGATTCTCAAGATAAGAGATGACGCACCTCCGCTCACGACTGAATGTACGTTACAGCCGCAAGAGTTGGTGGAGAAGCTGTTCCAGCTCCGAGGGGCAAAGACGAACCTCACTCCCCGCTTGCCCATTCCGAATGTCGGGTCTGCATTGAGCATCAGACCGTACGCCGCGCGTAAAGGGCTACCAAAGATGACTGAAATTCATCAGCCTGGTCTCCCACGCACTCCCTACATAGAGAAAGCCACTCTATCTCCCAGAGCATTGGGGCTCCTCCAGCGAAAGAACTTCCGGATCTTCCGGTTTTGTTTAAAGTGGAATTGCTAACCACCCCCTATAGGAGGCTGCCTTAGGTAAAGGACGCCATTCGTGTAGGCACGACCGACCACTATCCGTTCCCATCCGCCACTTCTCGCGTATTCGAGGGACTCCGTCAGCGTAGTCTGAGCGTCCTCAACGCTATACGGTTCGATGGTCCGAACCCGCGAGGCCGGGGTTATAACGAAGGTCATACGCAAGTGCTTGCTCGGAAGTCATAGATAGAAGAACAACCTTTTCTCGAAGTTCCCGCCAGGAGCATCGCCACTAAGCCACTACGAGTCCATTCCCAGTAAATAGGTCTGTACGAGTTAGGTTTGTAATAGATAGTATCCTTTGGTCATATACACCACTACTATCTCACGCCAATACTTACGGATATAGCTCCACGCCAAGAAGGCTCTGAATATTCTCGGTATTCATGAGGATGAGGATTTCTTGACCTGTTTGTAGTAGCATTTGCTAGATTTCGTTCACCCCGACGCCTTATTTGGTAATGAACCTTATAGGATCTAAAAGAATTCATCCAATTAATTAATCCTTTACACTCTAGTATAAATTTCACTTTGAAAATAAAGATCGTTGTTTAAACTTTTTAGACTTAAAAAGGTTCATAATAAATAACCTATAGAAAAAAATATACAAAGAAAACCAAATTCAGACACTATGACCCAGCAGATTCTTCCCATCCTTGAACTCAAAAAGTTGCTGGATGCATTTCGCTTATAGACAGTATGTTGAACCTCCTATTAACACCAGTTAATTCCTATAAAAACTAATTACAAACAATTAAAACCTTAGCTAACAACAATAGATATCAAGAAATCTTCATCGATAGATTGCTAGTAAAACGAATTAAAAAAAGAAGCAATAATTATGTCGAGAGAAATGTTTGTAACCGTTTAATGCTCGAAATCCATCCAATAATCAACAAGTCTGTGTGGAGAACAATCATTTACAAAAAAGGCTTAATTCATTTGTCATTTGACGAAATAAAAAATAATAAATATTGTGTAATAAATGTTTTAACTGTCCTGAAAAAAAGGCCATGATATATACTTTCAAACATTTGAGAATGGTAGAAAAAAAGTATATATTTAAAACAATAAAGTAGCTATTTTCTCAAAGTTAATAATTTTTTCTTTTTCCAATCTTTTGCATATTGAAAGAAGGACTGCTCCTCACGCTTATGTCAAACAGATGAAGTTATTCGAAGAGAGAAGGGCAATCCACCGACATGGCTCTATCCTTGATCTTGTTACGCCGGCGACCTCCTCAGATCTAATTTTCCCGATAAAAAAAGATCCCCAGAGGTGGTCAGATATTGGTCTCTCGTCACCCTTAGGGCTCGGATATGTCATCACAAGGAGGCCTTGCACTTACAGATAATCCACCGCCCTGGTTTGTTCACTAAGGCCCTATCCCTCCGTAAATGACCCTTCCAACTCGATTCGGCCCCACTCGGCCGCCTAAACTGATTGTTACTTTACACCCCGGAAATCGCATTAAAGCCTTCTGAACCGAGTTTTCATTGTTGGAGAAGAGCATGTGTATGGGCAACATCGGTCGCCGTCTTATCCAAGCATGCGGCCCAGCTGTAAAAAAATAATAAAGTAAAACAGGACATTTGATTAAATGTACAAAATGGTCATTTCCGGGAAGTCTGGTAAAGCAATAACTCCCAAATCTTATTATTACTATTATTCTGTTCAAAGGATGTGCTGTTTTTTATAAAATTCGTGGCCGTTTATTTTTAAGCTGCCTACTTTAATGTAAAACAAACAAGGGGACGACCAAGTTGGAGTGTCACGGATTTGGACCAAACTTTTTTGGTTGATTCAATACTCCAAAATATTGGACATATATCCGCCACTTATTGTAAATAAGCCTTGGTTTTGTCGAAAAAATTGAAAGTTCAAATTTTCCGTTTTTTCGCCGTTCTGCTTACTCAAATCAACTATGTTAATATATAATTTTACAAAATTTATTAATTGCGAAGCGGGAAGGACTAAACGTAAATCTGGTTGAATGAATTTATTTATATTTAATAAATTAAAATAATATTAATAAAAATTATAAGTTTAAAGTAAATTTAATTAAATGATAATAATTCTTTATTTATAGATTAACAAATTATCATTTTTAATTCTATTACATTTCTTGGTCCGAATGACCAAATAATCTCTTTCAATTAATTAATATTTATATAAGGTATTGGTTGAGATAAAAAAGTCAGTGACACGAGCGGGATTCGAACCCACGATCTTCGGCTAAATACGCCGCTGCTCTACCACTTGAGCTATCGTGATTTCGATCCAAACGGACACCAACTTCCCTTCTCAACCCAAACTTTCGAATTTTCCCTTCTTTTTCCCATTTTCCAAATGTGTAATCTATTTGATTCTCGGCGACAGATGAAATGGCCACGGAGAGTTTTAGTGACGATATATTTCGTTTTACTTATTAAATCCATTACATTTCGTGGTCCGATTGACCAGATAACATCTTTCAATTAATTAATCTTTATGTAAGGTATTGGTTGAGATAAAAAAGCCACGATAGGTCAAGTGGTAGAGCAGCGGCGTATTTAGCCGAAGATCGTGGGTTCGAATCCCGCTCCTGGCACTAACTTTTTTTATCTAATCAAAACATTAATTTTTTTTAATGTAATAATTTCATCGTTGGTTAACATAAAAACAAAAATGTTTTAGGACCGAAAATATTATAATTTGGAATGAGTTAAAAAGTAACAAAATACTACTTTTTTTCAAATTTAACAAACATGAAGTAAGTCATAAAATGGTCAATACTTGGATTTGAATTCATTTTTCGTGATTCTAGCGTTATAAAACCCTTAAATACCGCTTTTCGCGGAAATCGGTGTAAATTAATTTTTTTGACTGATAATTTCGATTTCCTTGCGTGAACATTTGTAGTGCGCTAATCTTTTTTCTCAAAACCTAAGAGACTGATTTTCATGGTTGATAATTATTTTTAAAGGAATTGTCAATTTCATTTTAAAACTATGTCAAAATCGGACTATTATTTAAAACTTAAAAAAACGAGGTTAATTTTTGACAAATAATTTCCCTATTTTGTTGTAGAAACCTTTTATATATTTTTATGTTGCATAAGTTGTTAAAAAGCTACGGTCCTCTTCTTACAAATGGTACGTCTGACGTTAAAATTGAACATTATTATGCATTAAAGAATTTAGAAAAACGAGAAGCGGTTTTTGTTTCAATTTAGCCTGGATCCTTTGTGTAACTGATTTTCTAATATGATTGGTTTTGGGAAGTGAGAACACATTGACACAACACTGACCGCCGAACATAGCAAACTAGAAAAAATTCCGTTACTTCAGGTTGCAAGAAAGTTAACTATATGTGGAAGTTTAGAGAGACATTACAAAGAAAAAGTGCCAAGTATACAGAGGGGAAGTGGCCCCAATTCGATTTTAGAATGCTTTCTCTCCCCCGTTACGAAAAATAGTTCGTACTAAAGAGTGTATGCACAATATACACAGAATTCTCTACCAAAATGACCTACTGAGGAGTGCCTATTGTCAAGAAATTCGATTTACCAAGTCAACGAATTTAACGAAGATCCGACGGAATAAATATCTTCAACTATGTATTCATGTATATTAATACTTACCAGCAAAAAAAGAAGAAAAAAACGTGTGCAAATAAAGATGTAGAAATATTACTATTATTTTTTCTCAACACGACACACAAGAATGACACATCTACACGGAAAACAAACACTTTGAGTAAGTGCGAATACTTTGATTGAATCTAAAATTTTCTAGCATTGTATAAATTCATTTTTTTAATCTAAAATTTTCTAGCATTGTATAAATTCATTTTTTTAATCTAAAATTTTCTAGCATTGTATAAATACATTTTTTTTTATCTAAAATTTTCTAGCATTGTATAAATTCAATTTTTTTTATCTAAAATTTTTTAGCATTGTATAAATACACTTTTTTAATCTAAAATTTTCAAGCATTGTATAAATACACTTTTTTAATCTAAAATTTTCTAACATTGTATAAATTCATTTTTTTTTATCTAAAATTTTTTTCACATCCTACATGTATTTGTAATATTTAAACAATGTTTATACATCCCAGGCCCTGAAGATGATTTCAATAAAGATCGAAACGTCGGCACGATAAAGAAAATGTTTTTCTAAAACCTACGTCACACCAAACCGTACCTCACGATCTCCAAATAATCATTGGCTAACTGTCACTAAATACCACAGACTATTTTTATTGTTAAATTAAAAATTTTCTATTGTATTTTCTCTCATAATTTTTGTACAAAGTCGGGCAGTCGATTTATGCCAATGCAAAAATGTTTGATATTCTTTTTACTTTTAAAATTATTTTTTCTGATAACTATAGTATTTCTATGGTTACAAATTTATTGAATAAATAAACGAACGTCAAAAATAAAAACCTGCAAAAAGCAACGTTGGATTCTCACCTTCTTTCCTGTCCCTCCCACTAATATTATAAATTAATTTATATGTTTTGTTATTTTAGCATATAAATAATAATTGATAATATATTTTATGTAAGGTATTGGATGAGATAAAAAAGTCATCGTCACGAGCGGGATTTGAACCCCCTACCTTCGAAGTCACGATAGCTCAAGTGGTAGAGCAGCGGCGTATTTGCCGAAGGTCGTGGGTTCGAATCCCACTCATGACACTGACTTTTTTATTTCAACCAATACCTTACATAAATGATCAATTAATTGAAAGATGGTATTTGGTCAATCAGACCACGAAATTTATGAATTGATAGTATAATTCGATAGAAAGGCTAGATCAAATCGAAAAACAACTGCAACAAGTATATTTTAACCCCAGACTCTTGTGGGTGTAATTTTAGATTTCACCCCTATTCGAGGAGTCAATTAATTAAGGAAAACCGTTTGTTATAATAATAAAATGAATAATTTCCCGGTCGTTAATCTCTGGTTTGAGACGCGTCAGGCCGGGGGCTATCGCTATGCCCGAATATGCCGTCGACTCTCAACGAATGCCATGGAAATAGGATTAGCTAGGCGAAAACAAATTAGCGGTTAATTAATTCCCACTTTTCCACCTCCACCCTCGGGCGGCAATAAATCCTGGCTTATTTTAATCGGTGGTGCCGGAGGAACGCTGATAGAGAACAAACGAAGACAAAAGGCGGAGGGCGAAGGATGGGAAAAAATAACAAGTTGCCCGTTCAAATCCGATTTGCTCAGATTTACCATGCATGGCCTGACTTTAATTCCGTCCACGGCCTGTTCGGAAAGACCGGACGAAAATTGCTGGAGAATCGGCAAATCTCGAACATCCAATCATTCTCACAGTACAAAAGTGCAATTTGAAATTCATATTGTAAAACGTAAAACGGGTTCCTTTCTTCTTTTGCATGTCGTTACTTTTTTTTATAAACTTTACTGACTATCTACTAAAACTGGCGAAGAAGCTTGAAGAAAAGAATTGCTCAGATCTGATTTTCAGATTTCCTGGTTCTCGAATTAACTAACCGCGAACAAATTGTACCCAAGGTGCTCATTTCTCTCTCTCTCCCTCCCTCCCTCCTCACTCACCCCCTCTCTTTTTCTGTCTCTTTCTCTTTCTCTCTCCCTCACTCTCTCTCTCTCTCTCGCTCTCTCTCTCTCTCTCTCTCTCTCTCTCTCACAAAATTCGAAATGCTTTGGTCATTAACATTTGATCCTTTCTTTCTTTTTTAAAACGTTTTGACAAAAATGACACACACATAAATTTAAACGGTTAATTAAATAAATAGTTTATTATCCAGAATTGCGTTGAATGATCTCGAATGTGCTAACTCCCTTCGCCCTTCTGCTCAGCCGCTTGGTAATGCAGCTCGTGTGTTAAAATAAAGTTAGGGAAGGTTGAGTAAATCCAGCTAGGGTTTAGGGCACTTGAAGAATTAGCCAAGTGATTGCAATTGTGGAAAGAACTGCTGGTCCCTTTCTGACCAGAATAACAAACCATACCCGAATTTAATGCTTAATTTGTTCCTCGACTCGTAAATGTACTAGAGCCCTTCCGGGAATGAGTTTCTTTTGATTCTTCTAAACTTCTTTTATGCACGTGTATTAAAATCATTATGAATTTGAATGTGTTACGAAATTGGAGACCAAATGCGGAACAAGAAGAACAAACAAAGCAGAACAACAATCTGCAGCCTTCTGGCTTAATATACTTTCATACTTTCTTAGTTTAGTCCAATTGACTCGATCCTTCTTTTAAGAGCTGTACATTGGCTGTCATTGCTGCAGTTCTTATTTATCGGGTCTTCTAGGATATGTATGCATTGAGCACACTGCAGCCTTGTTATACTTTTCTTGGTTCATTAGTTTAGTTCAATTGACTCGATAATTCTTTTTAAGTTCAGTTCAATTTAGTCGAGCGTTCTTTTAAGAAGTAGTAGGCCGTTGATTGTCATGACTATAGTTCTTTTTTCTTGAGTCTTCTTCAATCGCTAGGCTACGTCGACTATGAGGCACTGCAACCTTCTGGCTTAATGGGCTTTTCCTAGAGCCTTAATTCAGCTTAACTCAATCCTCCTTTTTAATAAGAAGTAAGCCATTGATTGTCATTACTGTAGTTGTTTTTCCCGGGTTTTCATTGTACCCTAGGATATGTCTCTATTGAGCAGTTCTCGTTCGAAAATGATATGTGGCAGTTTCTCCCTCCACATTGCATAACCTCAAAATGGAGTATTGTTAAATGTACCCATATTTTCCTGGTCCTTATAGATACCCAATCTACCATGATTGCCAGTTTTGGTGAGGGTTCTTTGATCATTAGTTTACTGCGTCTAGCACAACTGGTATTCGTCCTTTTCTCCTTTTATTAGCGCTTCTGGTCTTGCAGACCATCCCCCTGGCCAGCTTGTCCCTTGTTTAATACTCAAAACTCCTTTGTGCCTACCCAAAATATAGTCCGGTTATGTTTTCCCAGGTTTTTGAGATTTTGGATTTGACAGTTTTACGTACAAATGCTATTAGGGAAGCTGTGTGAACATACGGGGATTTTTGTCAAGATTTCCTATGACAAACGCTTTTGATGGCAAGTATTTCAGCTTGAAAGACCAGGTGTACTTTTCTAATGAGTTTGATTGCTCATATCTGGCTTGCACTGAATATACCTCACCTGTTTCCATGTCCATTTTCTCTTTATAGTCTATTAAATGATTTGTAGGATTTAGAAAAGGCCTGTATGCCAGATTTAGTCCCCATTCAGTTTATGTGTTGTGAAATCTGTTTTCGCTTGTCTTAGCTTGTCTTTGTACATATAACAGCCGGTAGGGTTGGTTCTAGTCATTGCTCCTTTGATGCATAAATTTACTTGTCAGTGCCAGATTTATGAGCAATACAATTAAAACCGGTATACCCAATATGCCATTTTCAGTTGTCGTCCTAAATATTTACCTAGGCTTCTTCTGGCCATTAGTGCTATTTAACTTTTGCTTAAAGGGCTGAACGCTACAAGTGAAGCACTATGATGGTGTTGTGAAATTTATATATTTACAACAGTTTTATTGACGTTAGCTTTAACATTACTTCCCGTATACTCGGTCGTCCTAAAAAGGGCAATGAGGATCTTTAACGTCCGTACCTAGCCTATTCGGCCTTATCAGACGTTTTGATTCTCAAATTGAGAGCTGACGCACCTGGCATACGACAGAAGGGTGTTACTGCCGCAGCGTTGGTGTAGAGGCAGCTCAGCCCCGAGGGGCCAAGACGAACCTCACTCCCCGCTTGCCCAATCCGAGTGGCCGGGTCAGCATTAAGCATCGAACCGTATGCCGTGCGCAAAGGGCTAAGTCGAAATTCATCAGCCTGGTCTCCCTCGCACTCCCTAGGTAGAGAAGGCCACTCTGCCTCCTAGAGTAGTGGGGCTTCCCCAGCGTAGAAACTACCGGATCCGCTCCGGCCGCGGTTTTTTTTAAAGTGGAATTGCTAACCACCCCCTAGACTAGACCGCCTACGGTAAAAGCCTCCAATCGAGCTCAGCCTGCACCTACGTGCAAAGCATACTCGAGTAGTACACTACCCATTCCCATCCGCCACTACTCACACATTCAAGGACTTTTCAGCATAATCATAGCGTCCTCAACGCTTATACGCTGCCGTCCGATCCGCCGTATCCCGTAGGCTGGGTGTATAACGATGATCATGAGCAAGTTTCGTGCGAAGGTCACAGATAGAAGACAGCTTCTTCTCTAAGTACACGCCAGGGGCTCACCACGGCCAACTACGAGTCCATTCCCATTTTAACAGGGGTGAACCTTGGAACATTTCTGTTATCCTGTCGTACAGATGACTATGCAACCTCCCCCGTCTATGCAGATAGGACCTGGTGCCCTAATATTCGTGATAAGGCACCCGCCGCCCCATGCCAACCCGAGGCGGACACGAGTACAGCTTGTGCTTTAGAGAGTTGCCAAGCCGTCAGGGTTAGCTTTAACAGCAAAGTAGCTTGCTTTGATCATCCGGAATATTAAAGAAAAACTTAACTTGCAAAACCACAGAAAAAATTAACAATTATTGAGAAAGTACAAAAGGTCTCGCCTCTCCCTGCTTATATCCCCCATGTCACTTAATCTTGGTCGTTTCCAGGTTTGAATATGTTACAGTAAACAATAACATTCCAAGGGCTGAAGGAGAAAAATCTTTAAACAATTTGCAGGAACATGTGAAAGGACACTTGGATAACAATTAACATACATAGAAAATGCTCTTTCTCCTGGACTATTTCTTTGGTTCGTTATATCAAAGGGTGGGTGAAACGCTGCTCCTTTCGCTTCGCAATTTATCGTAGGAAATATCGTTTCTGAATTAAGGGGGTTCTGAGGTGGAGGTAGGAGGAAGAGCATTGAGCACATATTTATTCCTTTGATGGAACGATAGGGAGGCCGTTACGGAAGCACGGCGGAATCAGGGGCCAACTTATTCAAAGGCGTTTGGACGGAAACGAGGATGCTACCGGGCTTGGCATTTATGCTGTTAGCATAATGCCGGCCCCGTGGAATATTCGGGCCCAAAGGCAATCAGCACCTTTTCAATCCCCCAGACAAATCCCTCACCGTTCTTTTTAAGCCCCTACAAAGATCTCGAAATGAAATTATCGATTTCGACATTTTAATTTGTCGGTGATAATTAGGTGATAAATGTTTTCCCTGTTTTATATAGTATAAGCCTTAAAAATATTAATAATTTATAATAAAAAGAAAAACTCCATACCCTCTCTTCTACGAACTGAAAATATTTACCTATGCAATTGCAATTGAACCAGACTTTCCAAACAAATTAATTTAAAACACTTCATGATATGAAACATCAAAATTAAAATAACTTTTTTTTGGTAAAAAAAAGGTTCATAAACAATTAGCGTGAATTTTATGATTTTAGGAACAATAAATCAGTTCATAGAACGGAAAAATTTGGAATGATACAGAAAAGAGAGGTCATTTGACGATTTAGTACTGCTATCTTTTGTACTGCTGTCATAATATTTTGGGGCAAATTTAACCTTAAAAACTTTTTGCTATGGATGTATGTTGATAAGTACATACAAATTTGTCAGATTTGTCAGAAAGTGGGGAGCCAACCAGTGCTGGAGCTATCTTTTATTTAGTTAGAGGCCACGGTTAAGGAAGGAGGTCACAAGGCCATTGTCGTTTCAGACGGTTTGGAAGATCGAAAGGATGGGACGGTGAAAAAAAAAGTTGGGGCTATAGCTACACTTGACTAACTTGTCCAGTAAATCAGTGATGTTTGCGAGGATATCTGTCATCATCGATGGCTAAAAGAGACAGAACTAAACAAAAGAAAACTCAAACCGTGATAAACTTACTGTTCGGATGCATGTCATCATCAATCCCGCCGACTACATTCCCGTAGTGCTGCTTCGGAGCCGGCTGATTCTCACAGTGCTCACGTTCGAGCTTTTTCTGCTTTGCAGTCCCTCCCATCTTCAACCTCACCTCATGATTTCACTACAAAAACAAAATTTTTTCATAAATCGCATTACTTTCGCACTGAAAATGCACGATTAAAAAAAGGACCAAATCATAATTTTCAAATAGTAAAAATGTTCAGGTAGAGCTTCGGTAGCAGAAAATAGGCAGTGTTTGCGCCGAGGACAGTGTGTATGGTAATGAAATTAATTTTTTTTTTTAAATGAACGAAACCAGAAAGAAATAATAAAAATAAAATAAAACCAATCTTCTGTCGGCTCCCTTTCTATCTGTTCAACCATATCCAAAATTGAAGTGGAAAATTGGAGAACATAATTGTCCACACAATCTAACGATATCTCGTTAATTCTCCTTTCGAGATTGCAAATTCGTCCATCGTCTTCGTCAGAAGCGTACACGCTGTTTTAAATTCCTGTTACCCGGCTTCGGAATCTTCCCTCCGAAATCGTACAATCTCTGAACTCGTCGAAACAGCGTTTCCTTTTTGTTCAGGATTGACATAAGTTTTAGGTTTTTGCCTTATCACTAATGGCTTTTAGGTTGATGAGCAAACGACAACTTAACAATATAACAACGACTAACGATATAACAAAATGGCGACCGTTCCAGTTCTGACAACCAATGGATATGCCGATTTTCCGACTTCTATATACGGCTCGGAGGACCAAATGTTTGCGCCGGAGACCGTGGACTGTATGGCATTGAAATTAGATAAATATAAAAATATATTAAAAAAAGAACAGAAAATGAACAAAACTAAACAAAATAAACCAGAAGGGAATAATAAAAAAATAATAATAAAAGCAATTTCACCTGTCTTCCGTCGGCTCCCTTTCTTCACCGACTAGGGTTCCAGGGGATGATCGGAGCGAAAAGATGGTTTGGAAAAAGGAACGGAAAACCCTTACGGTGGAGACAACTATCACGCCGCAGGAACAGTTCGGTCGACGAAAGTACAGGTGAGACGACAAGCCACAATTTTGAGAACCGGAACACCACTATATCCAGGAATATCGACTAATTTTATTCACCGGAAAAAAAAATTTCAAATATTGGATACGTTCTCCAGGACGGTTCGACAACAACTGGATATAAAAAATATGGCCAACAGTCCAAAGTACAACAGGGGGATGCAAACAGGCAGTTTTGATTTGAGCTGATTAAAGGCTAGTAATTGAAATGTAGCCAAGCATATTTATGTTTGATTCCGCAGACTCTCTAAGTACTCGTAAAATCTACTTATTTATGAATTTATTACGAAACAATGTCATTTTTATGCCTTTGCCTCAAACAAGAAGGTGAAGAAGTTCCCTCCCCGCAGGTAAAATTTGAGAAACATTTTATGCCTCTATACCACCCACTATACTATGTATTTGTACTATCACAGCCGACACAATTCCGAACATTTTCATAAACCTTGATAAAAGATTTAAGAGCACTTTATTCTGACAACTTGACTGAACTAAAAAAGACAGCCAATTTAAAAATTGTCATTTTGTTATCAATAAATTATATTTGTTTAATGATTATACACTTACTTAATTATTAATGTTTGTACTATTATTTATAAAATTATTGATGTTGTATATGACAAATTGATTTTATAATTAATTATTAATAGCTACGTGTAATGTTGACATTACTGCTCTCAGTGCACGTTCGTCAGGCTAGTCCAGTGTAGATCCATCTTAATAGAACAAAAACAAGTTTAAATAAATTAAAATCCAATGTAAGTAAAATGTCGCAAATATCCAATATAGGAAAAATTATTGAGAAAACTCTGGATTTTAGAAAAAAAGCTGCTAGCATTTCGAAGCTTACAAGTTGAAATAAATAAAACCTAATTTAAAACAAAGGAAAAATTCTTAAATATATTAAATAAAAATAAAGATTTTGGACGTCCTTTCAAGTTCAATTAACTTTTACAAATAATTTGTGATAAATTGATATTGCCCAGCCGGATGTCCTGATGAAACAGAATACAAGTTAAAATAAAACAATATTAATTAAACATTGAAAATTTAGGAAAAATATACAATAATATATCAAGAAATACAGGGCGTCCCAGTCCTTCTGACGAAACTCAGGGAATCGATTCTAACTCTTCGTTTGGAGCAAAAAATGATCAGGAGAAAATTTTCGGAAAGCTCTCTATTTTGAAGATATTTGTCAATTTAGGTTTTTTCAACTTTTCACTACCTTACCACATGTTCGAGAAGAGGGAAAACACTTTGAGCATTTCCTCTGAAAAGTTCCTCCTTTGTTGCTACAAGAAGAACCATTGCATTTTATTGTATGAAGCTTTCTGGTATGGTTTTTGTGAGATTACAGATGTGTCATTTTTATTTTACAAAGCGAGTTCTAATTGATTTATTTCTACCCCCCCTTCAAATTTACTTTAGCTCACGTTTTCGAACATTCAATTGTTATTTCTCAACTCTACTAGAACGTTATTTAAAAACCTGGATAGATCAACATAAAGTATATTTGATGAAGAAGTTTTTGTGAAATTTGACAAGTTGTAGGTATTTTTTGTAACCTCAGTAGAACGTGAATCATGACCAAAATTTTAAATTTTGTAATTTTGACATGTTCCAACTGATATTGGCTAACATTTTATGTCATTCAGATTATTGCAAATAGAAGTATCTTACAGCAAATTTAGCGTTCTTTCAAATGGTGTAATTGGGCTTGTTGTAGACTCAACATTTTGGAAGTTGTAAGCATTTTTATGTGGTAAGGTAGTGAAAAGTTGAAAAAACCTAAATTGACGAATATCTTCAAAATAGAGAACTTTCCGAAAATTTTCTCCTGAACATTTTTCTAAAAAGAGTAGAATCGATTCCCTGAGTTTCGTCAGAAGGAACTAGGTCACCCAGTATAGGAAAAACTAACTAGTAGTGTGTAGAAAAAAACAACAATTAACATTGGATTTGAGGTAACTAGTTATTTTTGTAACGAACATCACCAGTGTACTGAATACTGAATATTAGACTTAATTACCCAATCAATTATCCAAACTCAACATAAAACATGTTAATACACATATATAAAATGTTATGTTAGACAAAAAAAATGGTCTAGGTGACGTTCTTCCACAAGCATTCATAAAAATATACTTCGAGCTCAATGTGTAAAATATATTATTGTTCTATTAATTTGATAAAATAGTGTTCAATTTTACTTACCAATATTGGCAATACTCAATTTTTAGTATTTATATATATACACATACACATATATATACACTTACATCAATTGAATATTTGTTAGGGAAGAACCTTCAGTTGACTTTTTTCCCATATAAAATGTTCACTGATGATGCCCAGCCGAAAGTAAATAGAAGTGGACTGTTGAATCCTGTGATGATCAAGGGCATTTTAAAACATCACAACCCCATTAAACAACCATCTAAAATCCATTTTGTTCTCGCAATTAGAAAAGCCATAAATTAAATTATTTCAGCTTAGATTTTAAAGCGTACTTTTCCCTCAAATGGGCAACGAAGATTTGATTTTTTTGTTAGAATTGCAAAATTAAATCGTTCAGTTTCAAAAAAAAAAGTATGAATCCATTATTAAAAACATGCGATTTTGTAATTAATTAGTAATTATTTTTAAAGTTTATGGACCTTGGATGACAACAGGTCTATAAAATAATGAAGGCCTTTTGTGATTATTAATTTTTAATTTATCAACAATAGTACAATCATGATATAAAAATTACAAAATATAATTTGAACCATCTACTTAACCATACATAATCATTTTTCTACAATATATTTCACTATAGCATTTTAAAAATTTAAAAAAATAAAATAAAAACACTGTTTTCAACCAAGAGTTAGAAACTAGATTAAGGTTTAACATCAATGATGTTAAATAGATAATTATTATATTAATCTATACATGTATTTAGTAGTCATAATGGATCGAATTAATTATACATTTAATTTAAGGTCATGGTTGAGATGAAGAAGCTAGTGTAACGGACGGGATTCGAACCCACCCGCCGAATATCGTGGGTTCGATACCACTTGTGAAACTAGCTTTTTCATCTCAACCAAGACCTTAGATTAAAAATATGTTAGTTGATAATAACATTAAAATAAAGCATAGTTGCTCTTTTCAGAGCTTTTTGGTCGTGACGATACATCCAAGCTGTTCGAGTTAGTTGCATTTGTTAGTGTTTTATTAAATTGAACTATCTGTCCTCCAAGAGTTTGACTGTGAGGAACTGGATCGCCTTTTGTCCCAGCTTGGTCTTTTTGGCATCCTTCGGTTTGCCGTTTTTCTTAAGCGCGACGTACCAATTGAAGCGGGCGTATGGTTTTGAAAGGTAGACGAGGTGGTGCCTGTGAAGCGATTCTAAAAACACAGTCGACTCGTCCAATACGTTTGCCTATTGATCAAAATCTATTATTGTTTTTTCTTTTATTTGTATTAATTCTTTTTAAATTACTTCTCCGTAAAGCCGGCCGGTTTTATTCATCGCCAAGTAAAGATTCGCCTTCGTACCTCTGATGCGCACCTCGCCCGCTTTTACAGTCGTGAATTCAACGATGGCTAAAACAGACAGAACTAAACAAAAGAAAACTCAAACCATGATAAACTTACCGTTCGGATGCATGTCTTCATCAATCCCGGCGACTGTCCCATCTTGCATGATTGCAAGGAAATAGCCAGTCCGGCAGTACAGCTGCTTTCTCTTCCCGTAGTGTTGCTTAGGAGCCGGCTGATGCTCACAATGCTCAGGTTCGGGCTTTTTCTGCTTTGCAGAGTTCCCTCCCATTTTACGATCTCACTTCATGTCTTCACTATAAAAGCCAAAATTATTTGTATAAATGGCGTTACTTTCACACTGAACTGAAAAGGCATTAAAAAAAAGACCAAATCATAATATTCAGTTAGTAAAAAAACCCAGATTGAAACTCCGTAACATAGAAAAGGCAGTTCTGATTTGAACTGATTGAATACGTGTAATTGGACTGTAGCCAGGCACATTTATATCTGTACGCACGGACTACCTAAGTACTCGTAAAGTCTACTTATTACAAAAGAATGCGGCTTTTATGACTTTGATATCTTTATGGATCGGGTAAAACAAAAATACACAGCAATTTTACCTATTTTTACTCCCTCGTAAACAGTTATCGGTCTTTCTTTAAACTGGCAGGCCTGCAGAAAGATCACTATAAGCTTTTGTACTTCACCGAAAATATTTTCAAGATCAATTGGTATAAACTGCAATCAAATCATTTTTTTAGGTTAGATCTGTTTAATTTACTCATTCGAGTTTTTTCTTAAAAAATTAAATTTTTCAATGCAAATTTTAGAAATGTCCATTATTAATTTAGCAAAATTGATGCACCTTTTTATGACATTATTACTCCATTTGAAAAAATAAATTTAAAAATATTGAAATGTTAAATTCACTAATTTCGTGGTCCGCTTGACCAATTAATATATTACAATTAATTAAGGTTTTTAGTTGAGATAAAAAAGTCAATAGCACGAGCAGGATTCGAACCCACGACCTTCGGCTAGATACGCCGCTGCTCTACCACTTGAGCTATCGTGACCTCGATCCACTCGGACACTAACTTTTGAATTTTCTCTCCTTTTTGCAATTTTTCGAGATGGGAAGTTAGTGTCCGAGTGGATCGAGGTCACGATAGCTCAAGTGGTAGAGCAGCGGCGTATCTAGCCGAAGATTGTGGGTTCGAATCCCGCTCGTACCATTGACTTTTTATCTCAACTAAAAACTTTAATTAATTGTAATATTGAAATGTGTTGGTCTGAAAGGTTCAACACAAAAAATAAATAAATAAATAAAATTTGACATGAAGCCAATGGAAACGTCAAAAATAATTTATAGAAGGTATACAAAATAGGAACGTGTTGTTTATAGACTAAGAATTCGACATACCAGGATACCTCTTGTCGAATAGAGTTTAACAATTGTGTAATGTTTAGTAACCGTTAGTTAATGATTATTCGGAAATCGTGAGATGCGGTCTGGTGTGACGTAGGTTTTAGAAAAACATTTTCTTTATCGTGCCAACGTTTCGATCTTTATTGAGATCATCTTCAGGACTCAAAGTGTTTGTTTTCTTCGTAATTGTGTCATTCTTGAGGGCTCTCTCAACACGACACACAAGAATGACACAATTACGCAGAAAACAAACACTTTGAGCCCTGAAGATGATTTCAATAAAGATCGAAACGTTGGCACGATAAAGAAAATATTTTTCTAAAACCTTCGTCACACCAGACCGCATCTCACGATCTCCGAATAATCTTTAATAATTGTTATGACTAAAAAGTAGAAGCACAATACAAATTGTTATAAGATTTATGACAAATAAGCTATAAAATTCATTAAAAATAGTCTGATTTACTAAAAATAATAGGTGTGTTAGAACCCTTTATTTTATACAATTTAGGTTAAAGGTAGTAATGTTTTTATTCAGCATAATATTTATATTACAGTTAAACAATCGCTATAATTTTATGAATAAATTGACAATTACTTTACATCAAAAATTAGATAAATTATAAAAAGTTGAAAAAGCGAGCGAAGTTGATAGAGTCGATTTTTTTGCCTGTATTTTAATTTAATTGTGCATTATAATTAATTATTTATTATTGACAGAATTTGGCTATGTCAAAATTAAAGAAAAGCAGGGAATCAACAACTGAAGTTAGATTGAAGGTAATTATAGATCTGTCTGATTATATAAATTTTATGATAGGTTATATATTGGTATAATTATAAAATGGTATGCTGTAATTAATAAAAAATATAAAATAAGAAGTTGAATGTAGGCAAGACGTGATAACATGTCCTGATATAGTGTGTGGTATATTAGTTCAATTATTGATTAATAATTAATTATTTATTATTGTAACAACACATTTACAACAAACCCAATAAAAATCTGGAGGCGCCAGCAACAAAGTAGAAATGGACTAAGAAGTCAATGTCTATTAATTTGTGCTTTATATATTTTAAGCCAATTATTAATTAATAATTAATTATTTATCATTGAAAAAACGAATCTATAGACAACTCAATGAAATTTATGAAATTTGAAATAACCAGTGCCCAAAGTAAGAATCGACCTGGAAGGGTCATGTCTATTGATGTATGCCACGTGTATTTTTGATCAATTATTAATTAATAATTAATTATTTATTATAGAAGAAACCATCTACCACCGACGCAATGCAAATTAGGAAAATGTGGAGAAATCAGTGCTCAAAGTAAGAATCGACTGAAAGATGTCATGTCTATTGATATTTACTCTGTTACATTAGTTCAATAATAATTAATCATTAATTATTTACAGTTGAAGAAACACATCTACAGCCAACGCAATAAAAATTTGTAAAACGTGAAGGAGCCAGCGCCCAATGTAAGAATCGACAGGATTGTTCTGTTCATATTAGTTAATAATTAATAAATAATTACTTATTATTGTAGAATCTCGTCTTTGACCAACTCAGTGAATATTAGGAAAAGATAGTTAAGGCTACCATTTCATGTTAAATTGAAGTTAGTTTTTTTTAAACTGTGTCGTTCATATAATTAATTATAAATTATTTATTGCATAAAATTCATCCTGGGCTAGTTCAAGACGAAGGAGGCAGCCTTCTGAACGATGATAAATTTGCCACAATGGTTTCACATTTTCTGCTTGATTATTTTAATTAATATAAATGTTTATTTAAATAGTAAGAGTATAAACAACAATCGTATAAATAATTATAATTGGTTAATTTTTGTATGCTTAATTATTATAATATAAATTGATTTTTGTGTTCATATGGCACTGTGTGGTTGACGCGGTGACAGATCCGGAATAAACAAACCGAAATTGTGAGTTCATTGTTCCAGAACGATTTGACCCATTTAATTATGATGATGATGGGCCGAAATTGAAAAAAAAGTGACTTCGTACAACAGGGCTAGTTTTAAAGATTGTTTTCTTTTAATAAAGCTTTAATAAATACCATCATTCAACGTGCTATTGTGTCTCTATTGTAAGTTAAGTGTTTGGAATATAAAAAGCGGATTGTTTTATTGATTTTTCTGTTGAAAATTCGTCGATGAAAATAGTATGCATGATTAATTGCATGGAAATCAGGGAGTATGTAATGTTCTGAGGCGTTGAAATCTTCCTGGCCGAAGAAGAGGTCTAAAGAGTCCTCCAGCCCGGCGGAACGTTACAATAGTTTAAAAAAATATTACATGAAAAACCGTGTTAATGTAAAATGTAAATTATTTACGTTGTAGGCAGCAGTGTTCCCCTCGATTTCAAGAGTCGGATAAAACTGAACGGGATCCAGATTTAGAAACAGATTCTCGCTTCCTACACGCCGCGCCGCTGGGGGGGAGACGGCTGTGGGACGATTTTTCACCAGTCGGCAATATAATTTTTTTTTTTCAAAACAAAATAAAAAGAACCCATTCATACTTTTATAATCGAGGGAAAAGCCTGTTTTTCGACGCCGAGTCGTGTCATCCTAGGATAATAGAGTAATAAGGATAAAAACAATTTTTTAAAAGGTCAATCGTTTTAGGTGGAAAAAAATTATATTCGAACGCCAAATTTAGACCTTTTGCCCTAATCTGCCGGCAGCACGTGCCTATTGACGCAGAACTTCAAAAGCGTTGTATTTATTCAGAAAACAATCGCACATTTTTAGCCTTAAAACCTCAAACTGGGTCTCAAGTCGCTCATGACTAATTTTTTTTTTAAATTTTTTTAAATACATATGACAAGAGCATCAAAGATTAATATTCAAAAATCATCTAATTGCGGAGAAATCTAACTGTTTGGATAAAGGTTTTTTTTAATAAAGTAAAATAAATCAAGTATCTACGTTAGAATTTTTTGAGTTATCTTCATAAGGCCTTGTGATGAACTAAATTTTTTGATTTCACCAAACTTTCGATAATTTATATCGCCATCCTCGGGGCCTAATTATTGAAAAATACACGCATAAACAGAGTTGCAGTGAGATATTGCAGAACTATATTTCATAATAAAATCTATTTATACCTTAATCTAATCTATACCCAATGTTTTTATTTACAATACTTCACTGGGTAAAGTAAGTTTATTATGAAAACAATGTAATTCTGCAATATCTCATTATTGTTATTGTATGTATTTTTCAGTAAATATGCCCCGAGGATGGCGATATAAATCGTCGAAAACTTGGTGAAGCCAAAAAAAACCTCATCACAAGACCTTATGAATATAACTCAAAAAATTCTACCTACCTACATAATTATATTAATGTTTAAAACAATATATTGCAAAATTATAAAAATAATTAATGATCCTGATATCTGCTTTCTTTGCTGGTCTAGATCGATCTTGGTTACTTCTAGAAGACGTATTCTAGTCCTTTTCTTAGCTATTGCTAGGAAAAAGTAACAATCTGATTTGTATAAGTGAGAATTCATATTTATCTAAGCAGTGTATCGCTGCGTTGGCAAAAAGGCTGTCCTTTGTTGAACACTGTCGTAATCGGTATTAAACAAAGTTTAAGACAATAAGTCACCGGGTAAAGACCATACAAATTGAATTTTTTAAACATTCCAATTTTCTTTTCCTGCTGTTATCCACTTTTAACGAAATCATTAATGGGGGGGGGATATACCTAGTTGTAAGTATAGTTTTTCTACTGTACAAAAAAATGAAATAAAAATGATGTCTCAAACTTCAGAGAGATCTCCTTTATAACACAGTTGGCAAGTTGTATTCGGGTTTGCTTTTAACCAGGATTGAGGAATGGAGCGAGACTAGGTGGACCGCGATTTTGGGAAAGAGCAAGAATCGGATTGTACAGGATATTTAATTTTGTGGGAAATCTTGAAAATTTGTTGTTGTTTTTTAACCATCTGTCCCGTTTGTCCAAAATTTAACTTTTCAAAAGTTTTATCCGTATAATTTTAATAACTGGCATGGTCGGCCTCGCGGTAATGCCGATCACAGTTTTTCTTAGTTCAAAGGCTCCGGACATTCATCCTGGCCAGGTTCCACGAGAAACTCTTCTCCATTTTGTACAAAATAGTGTGAACAGCTGGTTGGATTTTCACTTTTTCCCATTTTCGCGAGTCTAACTGGAAAAGTTTCGAGATGGAAATCCATGAGGTGGACGTCACCCGGCTCTGCCGACGCGTCTTGAGGTACGCCGTCAGGAAGGCCGTCGAGGTCGCTGAAAAAAGAAAATCACGAACGTAAGTTTTTTCCAGTATTAGTTTTTAAAAAAGCAACTATTTATTTTATAAAAAGAAAAACAAAAAAACGGTTTGACTAATTTCGGCATTTCCGTTCTAATAAAATAACTCAAAACAATCAAAATTTCCTATTATATTTGTAATCATGAACCTCATAACAACCATGACTGTTATTTTGGGTTTGTAATCATAAACTTTACTTCACGATTTACTTTGAACGAGGTTGTCCAAGCAAGACTGTTCTGTTACAAATTCAGTAGTGCCAGCAATTTAACTGACCTAAGTATGAGAACATTCTCGGTGTGAATGGACAACTCTGAAAGGTTAGGGTTCAAGTTTCAGATTGCCCTAAACAAAGTCAATAATTAACTAGAATACATAGAATACTCCGGTGCTGATATATTCCTTCGACATGTTGTTCAAAACACAAAAATCATTCTGTTTCAGCAAAATTATACAGATAAGTTTTGTACCCCTCAATCTTTGAACAAAACAGCAGTTTTTAGTTAGCTAAAAAACCTATGGCTATCAGGTAAACTATCTCGCTTTAAGCAGTTTGATTATCCTATGCCTCATCTCCAGAATGAACACAAAGCTTGGCCTTTTAGTTAAATATGTTAAATCTTAGTCCAAAACTGGAATTGTTGAGGGGGAGGTAGCTAAAAGCCTATTGCATCAAGTAGGCAATCATACTCTCTTTAAATTTGTACATTATCCAAAACCTGATTATATCTTATTATAAAATCCAATGTAAATAAACAAAAAACATTACTCACTGGCATTCTGAACACGACACACAGTAATGTCACATCTTCACAGAAAATACTTTGAGACAGTACAAATACTTTGATTGAATCTAAAATTTCTATCATTGTATAAATTCATTGTTTCATATCTTAAACAATGTTTATAAATCCCAGGCCCTGAAGATGAACTCAATAAAGATTGAAAAGTTGGCACGATAAAGAAAATGTTTTTCTAAACGTCACACAAGGCAGCATCTCATGATCTCTAAATAATCATCAATTAACGTATACTAAATATCACACATCAAAGTTGATTTATTTAATTTTATGAGCAATACAGCATACCAATGTCATCTGTTAGGGTTTATCAGATAGGGTTTATTGTAATTAAAGCAGAATAAATCATGGATCAACCTGGAATGTTAAGCCCAGTTGTTGATAGCTGTCTTAAGTATAAGAACATGCTAAATGTAAACGAACCTGAAGGTTTACATTCTATTGGGTTGTCCGGAAAATAATGCAGGATTTTGGTATTAAACAAAAAAAAAGAAACTAGTTACTTTAAAGCAATGTTCTTTAATCAAAATAATTTCCCATACNTTCATACAAATGAGTAATCCTGTAAACGTAAACAGAATATTTTATATAGATTTTTTTTAATGAAAACTTAAAATCCTGCATTATTTTCCGGACAACCCAATAGTTTGAGGTTGCCAAAATGAGAGTGATTATTTTTACTAGATTATATAAATTCAGAGCTGAGGCAATAAACTTTTTTGAACAATACAGCTTACAAATTTCCATTTTCTTGGGTTAGAGGTTAGATGAATTCTAAAGAGTTAAGCACAGTAGTTGGACTGACTTGGGCTCCTGTCAAGCTACCCAATAAAGCTTACTTAACTGAATACAGTGAGATTAGTTAGTTAACCAGAGTTATTCCTTCTACACTAAATTGAACACTTCAGAGCTGTTGTATTCCACCATTCGTTTAGTGCACTGATGCCTGTGAGGTTCTCTGTCGAACTCTTCAATGTGCTCTTGATGAAAAGATATTCCCCAAACTGGTGTGGCTTAGCAAAACAGAGGTTTTCGTCTGAGTACCCAGACACATAGGTCTGGAGGGTAAGGAAAAACAGACAAGGAGACTAAGGCTGGGATGCCCCAAACTCTGGACTTAACTACCTTAAAGCTAAAAATATAATAAAAAACATGATTAAATGAAAATGGCAGCATAGGTGGGTTGTATTGGCAGAAAAACTCTCACATATCAAGAGCACTGTCGATAGGTGGCCTCAGAGGATCTGACTCATAGAAGAAGGGTCATCCTCATCCAATTAAGAAAAAGCAATGCAAGGTTGACAGACTTACTTTTGGGCCGAAGCCCACATATGTGTCCAGCATATAGAGAAACATTGCTATCCCCCATCTAATTGAAGGGTACATACTGAAAGCACGTAGTAATGCCATCTGATATAAAAATTGTTCTTGAGCACGGAAGTGACTATCTGGGTCCCCTGATACAATTCTTGGAGAAACCAGGGTTATTTTATTGTATATAGTAATGATGGTTTTGTGAACTTAGATGGTTTTGAGACTGGATTATATAGGAACTGGCTTCTTTACCAGTAGTGGTCTTTTGTGCATCTCTATTCTTTTTTTTATCTAGAGCTCCTTGTTAATGCTTTTTAACAGACCCCAAATCAGGCTTTTCCTCTCCAAGGATTAGGAATCTCAGCCTGCAAAGGCCTTCGCACTAACAGAGGACATGTTCCGCTGTTTCTTCTTCTTCTATGTTCATTCTTGTTTGTCGTGTTGAGAGTGCCAGTGAGATATTGCTGTTTTATGTATACATATGCATATGTACATAACACAACAATATCTCATTGGCACTCTCAAAACGACACACAAGAATGACACTTCTACATGGAAAACAAACACTTTGAGTGAATATAAATACTTAGATTGAAACTAAAATTTTCCAGCATTTATAAATTCATTTTTTTTATCTAAAATTTTCAAGCATTGTATAAATTCATTCTTTTTTTACATCTAAAATTCTCTAACACTGTATAAATTCATATTTTTATATCTAAAATTTTCTAGCATTATATAAATTCATTTCTTTTCACATCCTACATGTATTTGTAAAATTTAAACAATGTTTATAAATCCCAGGCTCTGAAGATGATCTCAATAAAGATCGAAACGTTGGCATGATAAAGAAAATGTTTTTCTAAAACTAACGTCACACCAGACCGCACCTCACGATCTCCAATTAATCAACAACTTACAAACTTCACCTTTCTTGGGTTAGGTGTTAGGCGAACTCTGGAA